TGCCCTTTCTGTTCCTTGTGTGCAAATAAAGGCTGCAAACTTGATTCACTTGTTACAAAATTCAACTTTTGTCCAGGAAAGGTCCCCATGCCTGGCACCGTATCAGAATCAACTGAGAACTTTAAAGATTTCGGATTTTCTGGCCCCACCATGGGATCTAACTAATAAGTCTACAATAGGGCCTGGGCCTATCTTAAAAAAGAATAAAATAAAATAAATCCCCAGGTGATTCTTATGTTCAACCAGTGTGGGAACAACTGTTCTGGAAGACAGGGTTGAGTCATTCCAAGCAGTTCATGCCCTTACACATCCCAAAGTTTGAGTGTTGGACTCTAGAAAGCTAAGCTCCCGGGAGCCTTAAACACAGCTGATTCCAAGACACCAGCTTTTGGAAGAAGTTTCCAAAAGTGCCAGCGTCTGTGGCTTAGGACAGTTATTTTGCCAACTCTAGCAATGCCTAAGCCACCTTTTCTCACATTTTGCCATTTCCACACACCACCTGAACCACTATTTACCCTCTATGGTTCCTCAACTATATTTATTTTTAAAACTCAACTAAATGTGTTTAAACTTTAGATTGTTATTATACATGAGGAGCAGTACCTTTTACTAAAATAAAAGGTAACCCTAAAGCAAATTCAATGAAAACAAACCATTTTTTAAAAGTCTATCTAGATACTCTTATCCCTCCCAAGCTTCTGAGCCTGAGATCTGTGGTGTTTTGGTTGAAAAATAGAAGTTAGCAAGTGTTAGGTACAGAAGAAACCCTAGCACCAAATGGAGACTTTCTCATATTGAAAGAGAATTGGAAGGTATTAACTTTCTCACTACATGACTCAATGCTATTTAATGACACGTCTACAACACTCAACAACATCTGGGTACCATTGTGTTATGCATCCCACTGGTGTAGCCAAAATCGTCTTTGTGGATAACTAAGTTAACTACTCTATATTGGTAGCAGTAGGAAGAAATACAAATTAATAAAAGAACACTCCAGAAGTGTGGAAGCAACAATGTGTTGGTAGCCAGCCAGAAGGTAGGTATTGCAGAGTTATTATTAATATAAATCCCCTCCCCAGCCCCAGCTCACGAATGGCCTCTTTCCTAGTTCCCAGTCTTTTGGATGTTATAATAACAGAAGGTTTTGAAGGTGAGGATCCTACCGTGTGCATCCCAGCATCCCCTGTGCTTGGGCAATACCTGGCACACCTAACACGCACAGTAGATGTTTGTTAAATGATTGGCTGGATGTAACGCAAACACCAAATCAACAGGTGTGGGGCTTCTACGGAACGTGGCAGGTTCTTGGTGAGCTTGCTGCAGCCTCCGTCCCCTTTGTGTTCCGGCCTGGGGTCCTCATCCTGTAACCGGTTCCTTGATTACAGGCCTGTAGGGTTTCTACTCAATAGGCTACGAGCCCTAGCACAGCGCGCCGTACAAGTGTATTGGGCAATTAGAATTACTGCTTTTTTGCTGACATTGCCAACTATGAAATGGGGTTTTTTGTGCCTCAGTTGCCTAAGGATTAGGCTGGGATTGGGTGGGGTTGGTCGTGGGTGGAGGCTGTTTGGGTGATTTAGGGCAGGTGAGTTAACAACTTGCACCACACATGCGAGATGGAGAAACATGTGAGGATGTTAAAAATGATTAAACAGCACTTTACAAACAGTGACAGTAACACATTGTGGCTGACGAGTAGAGTGGGGAAAGTTAAGTTTCCTATATAGCCCAAAAGGACTGTTAAGAAAGATATTTATGGAATAAGCGCCTGGTAATTTGCCATGAGGAAGGGCAAAGGTGCCGAGTGGGTGGGTTGTAGGTGGGAGGTAGCCCAGATCAGACTGGTCTCCCCTCACTGGCGGTAGGTTCATGAAGGGTCGGTAGTGAGGAGAGGGCACAGGTGAAGCCCCATCACAATGGCCACAATAACAATGTCACCCCTTGAACCCATAAATTATATTAACATTTAAGCCTGACTTGGCTTTATAGTTACCAATATTGAATATGCCTGATTCCAAAAGAACAAAGGCTTTTGGAGGCAGAAGTTCTCCAACTGGGATGAGCAGGACATTCACTTGCGAGGAGTGGGGGTTGCATATTCAAAATGCAGATTTCCAAGCCCTCATCCAGCAGTTTTTGATTTGGAAGGTCTAGGGCAGTGGTGCTCAACCAGGGACCATGTTGATCGCACCTCTCCAGAGCACATTGGGCAATGTCTACAGTTTTCATTGTCACAACTGGGGTGGAGAGGCCTCGCATCCAGTGGGCAGAAGCCTGGGATGCTCCTAAACCAGCAGTCCCCAACCTTTTTGGCACCAGGACTGGTTTCATGGAAGACAATTTTTCCACGGACATGGGGGGCGGGGGTGTTAGGGGATGGGGCGGAGCTTAGGCCCGTGATGCCAGGGATGGCAGCATCTATAAATATAGATGAAGGCTTGATTGCCCCTCCCCTCCTGCTGCTCACCTGCTGTGGGGCCTGGCTGGGGTTCTAGGTTTCATGGAAGACCATTTTTCCATGGGGGTTGGGGGGAGCTCAGGCGGTGCTGTGCGGCCTGGTTCTTAACAGGCCACAGACCGGCACTGGGCTGCAGCCTGGGGGTTGGGGACCACAGACCTAAATTACATCGCACAGGACAGCCCCTCCCAACAAAGAATTAGCCTGCTGAAAATGTCAATAATGCCTGGGTTGGAAAATCTTGTTCTAAGGTAAGGACCAGGTATGTGCATCTTAACAAAGGGCCTCAGGAAATTTTCATGCAGGAAGCAGAAGCTTTAGACAATACCTGTCTTTTTAATCTGAGGGCATCGACATCAGAGTTCCCTTTCTGCCTAATGCCTTCCCCACATTTAAAACTCAGCTTTGACTTAACTCCCCCTGTGGAGCCCTGCCTAGTAACCATCCTTCCTTCCTCCAAGTGCAGGTTAACTGCCCCTCCCACGGACACTCTGCCCCAGCCTACACCACTTGTCCCTTGTTTGTCTCCCCCCCTGCCCCCCACCCCCGGGAAGGAATGCTCCTTGAGGGTGGGATCCAGGTTCATCTCGTTCATAGACCTTTTCCCAGCACCTTGCAATGTGCCTGGCGCCTGGCCCACAGCGGGACTTAATAATCCCATGTTAGCTTCACTCTGTATGGGTTCAAATGACATCACCTGTACTGAGTCTAGAGCTACCTACCCCCTCTTTGGGGCACTATTACAGCACTCAATTTTAACATCTTCCTGGAGCTTATCACTCTGAGATTATCCTGTTTGTTTGTTTACTTTTCATTCATTCAACACACATTTTATTGAGTACTTACTACATGGCTTGCGCTTTGCCAACAATTCAGGATACAACAGAACAAAGAGGCAAAAATCCCTCTTCCCAACGGAGCTTATATTCTGAAGGAGGAACTCTGACAACAAACAAAATAGAAAACTGCAGGTAACACGTGCAACACTGATCAGTCCTGTAGGGAAAAAGAAAATGGAGCAATGGGATGGGGAGTGTTTGAGTGTGTGTGTGTGCGTGTGACATTTTAAGTAAGGCGGACCTCTGGGAAAAGGCAACATTTAAGCAAAGACTGGAAATCAGAGTGGGGGCCACTTGCCTGCTGCTCCCCCCTAGAATATAAACAACAAGAGGGCCAGGTCCTTCCCTTTCTCTACGGCTGCTGGTCTGTCTCCAGAACAGGCACACAGTAGGTGCTTGGTAAGTACTGCTCCAAGGAAACAAAAAGAAAACTACCTGATTAGACTGTCAAGTAGGAAGGGAGATTTTTTTGTTTCTATTCTATGACCACCCATTGATTAGCAAGAAGGTGGGAGGGTCAGGGACATTAAACTTAAGGGGGTGTGGGGAGGACATTTTGGGGGGTCAGGTTAAGACAGAGGATGGAGGTCATGACCAGATAATGTCCCCTCCCCCCCCCAAAGCAAACCTAAGTTCTTCCTCCCCTAAAATTGCTGATGGTTCCTGCCGGTCAGTCACTCTGACCCTCTGAGTCTCCCTTCCCGGCCTCCCAGCTTTGGAGTTGGCCCAGCACCCTGCCTCCCTTTCTCAGGCACCCTTCACTGCTCACCTCCGGCCTTCCCCCGCCCCTCCTCCTCCCGGAGGGGTGTCCCCGCGCCTGCCAGGCACGCCCTGGCCCCAGCGAGGAGGGCGCACCGAGGAATCCCGCTCGGGCCCCCGCCCCCCGCCCCGCTCCCCGGCGGGACACTGTCCCTTTAATAGACTCCCTCTGCCTGGCGCTCTGCGGCTGGGGAGTAAATTTCTCCCTGTCATCAGGTCGCGGGGAGAGGAGGAGGAGGAGGAGTTTGTTAATGTTCAGTTTGTTCAGCGGGATCGATGTTTGCTGGCATCGCCTCGCCCTGTCTTGTGTGTGTGTGCGAGTGTGTGTGTGTGTGTTTGTGTGTGTGTGTGTGCATACGTGGGGGGTGTGAGTGCGTGTGTGCGAGGAAGCGAGAGTGCGTGCGTGTGTGAGTGCGTGTGAGTGTGTCTGCGTGTGTGTCTGTGTGTGTGTGTGTGTGTGAGTGAGTGAATTCCAGATTTTCAGTCTTTCCAAAACCCGCTCCTGTCCTCTCGCATATCACTCACAGACGGGGATCTGACAGCAGCCACAAACCCACAGTGAGTGATCTCCCCCTGCGCGGATCCGCCATCGAGATCGGCAAGGAGGAGGAGGAGGAAGAGCAGCAGGAGGAGGTGGAGGAGGAGGAAGAGCAGCAGGAGGAGGGGGAGGAGGAGGAGGAGGAGGGAAAGAGGAGAAGGAAGAAGAAGAAAAAGAAGAAGAAACCCACTACCTTCCCAGGATTGCCTTTTTTCCTTATCTTTACGCGCGCGTGTGCGTGTGGCGCGTGTGCGCCCCTCGTCCCTTCCATCTGAACCCGGTCTTGGATGTTTAATAAAGAAATCAAGTGTCTCAACAGTCACCAAAAAAAAAAAAGCAAAAACAAAAAAAAAATTCCAAAAGCCAAAACAAAAAAAAGAGAAAGAGAGAAAGAGAGAGAGAGAGAGAAAGGAAAAAAAAATCCAAAACAAACAAACAAACAAACAAGGCAGAACCAACCTCTACTTCAAACCAGCCGGCACAAGCCACCCGTGTCTGCCATCCAGAGAGGGGGGTCTCTGGCCCCTGGTGGAGGAGTTGCGGGGGGATCGTCAGGGGGACAGAGGCCGAGTGACGTCCTAGGAGCCACCGGGCCAGAGGCGGAGGAGACCCAGAGAGGCCAGAGAGACAGCGGGCCCCCGCGCGCGGCTCGGGGCTGGGGCGCCAGAAGTGGGACTGGAGCGAAGTAGAGCGATGCCAAGGAGGAAACAGCAGGCACCCAAGCGGGCGGCAGGTAAGAGAAACGGCTCCGCTTCGGGGCTGCCCAGCCCGGGCTGCCCGGCGCGCCGCGCTCCTCGCCCGCCCTCCTCGCCCCTGGGTGCCCGGGGACGCCACCCCCTTACGCTTTCGGGGGAGTTCGCTCCCCGGTGCCCCTCCAATAACCCCGTCCTCTCTCTCCTTCTCTGATCGCCCACATCCTCCTCTTCCAGGCTCCGGTTGGGTGGGGGGGAGCTATCCCACCAAGCCTTCCCTCCTTAAACTTTTTTCCTCCACCCTCTACCCCACCCCTAACTTTCTCCCAGTCTGTTTCTTGCCTCTTGGGCCAAAATCAGATTGAGGATTTGGGGTGCGGAGTAGGGAGACAGCCCCTCCACCCCCGCATCCCTCCGAGTGGTCAGTGCCAGCGGCTTCTGGCCTCCGGGGACAGCGTCTCCTCTCGCTGGGGCTTGGGGCGCCGAAGTGTGAGGCATGCCCAAGACCTGGGCTGCAGGCTGGCTTTGGGGCGAGCAATGGGAGTTTAGCTTTGATCACCAAGGTGGAAAAAACACCCCAGGAAATGGATGAGTCTTTGCATATGTTTTCTAAAAGGATCCACGTTCTGAAATCTAATCAACACTCTCCCTTCGCTTTAAAAATAAAAGGTGGGGGGAATGCTTCCCATAAAAATTTAAACAACTCTGGATTTTCTTTGCCTAGAGAGAGAGAGTTGCAAACTTTGTGGATTGATTTGTTTGGTAGGAACTATCCCATCTCAGTGCTTACCCCCCACCCCCCAAAAAAGATAGGAACAGGTTAATGGATCAGTACAATAGACCTTCTAAGGGATTTTTTTTCTTTTGGGTTGCTTAATTGCTTTTTTAATAGTATGCTGGGGTTTTGTTTCTCGGAAGTGTAATATGAAAGTTCATTTTTCTCCTGCCAGACCCACCCACTGAAAAATCAGCTTTCCACTTGATTGCTAGTTTTGATTTGACATTTGATTGATCACCTGTCATCTCGCTGCCTTTGATCTATTCATTCTTGATATATATCAATAAATCACTCACCATGGTAACTCAGAGTGCCAGTGACGCAAGCCTTGCCCTCTATATTCAGAGCCAGACATGCACAATTATTATCTTGTTTGGCTTTTAATGTGGGCGTTTTTATTTCTTTGTGTCCTTTAGTTGAATCAGGGCTTTAGCAAAAAGCTTGAGTTGTGTTGTTTTTTTTTTTTTCCTCCTTCCCTCTCTCTGTCTTTGCCCTCTTGGTTTAGGCAGCTTTAGTTAAGGCTGGTCTTCTTGCAGAGCCACCTCCACATTTCATTCTATTCCAACTCGAGCAAAACATAGGGAGAAGTTCGGTGGAACACTTTAGTAAACTTTGCAAAGTCTCGCATAGAACAAATCCAAAGTTAGTTCGGAATCTGGGGAAAGTGGGCATTTGTGTCTGAACATGCAGGACCATCAAGCTCACCCTCCATAGTTGCCCGATTCCAGCCTGAATGACAATATATGTGTTTTGAAACATCCACAGTTATCTTCCCTTCTGAACACAGAACTGCTTCCGTAACCATTTGTAGGTTGGTTCGACTGGCATGCGGAAATATCATTTATAACGCGTTGATTCGTATATTTTCCAATTGTTTCCCTAAGAGTAAAATAATTAAAATATTTTTAGTGCCATATATATTTGGAACTTGCCTCATCAGTGAGGTTTTCTTTTTTCCACTCTAGCTACTTCTTTTGAAAACAATTCCTCCCTCCTACCCCTGTCTCTTTCTGCTTTTAACTCACTTATTTTTTAAGACTCACACTGCTTTGCAATCTGACAGCGTTGGGTGTGTGCAATGGCTTTTGAGACTTAGGAAGAGTGAGCTCGCTGCATCAGGTTCTGGCAACATAAGTTTAAGTGTAGCTAGATTATTAGAGATAGCGTCCTTATTGTTGTCCCGAAAGAGAACCCTGGGCTACAGTCCAGCAAGAAGTGATACTGCCCTGAAAATTACTCTCTCTCTCTTTTTTTTTCCTTGTTGTTCCCGTAAAGGCCATCAACAACTAGGCAGTAATTTAAATTACCAGAATGACTGGACATGTCTCCTTTAGTAAGCTCATTACAAAAAGTGCATTGCTCAGAATTGCACGACTTTGATTATAATTATCCTCTGATCAATGAGGATCCAGGTGTACGTAACATAATGCTGTATCACATTATTTAAATTACATCCTTTTCATTAAGCTGTCTCTATTGGTGCTGTCTGGTCTATTTATTGTAGTGTGTGTGTGTATGCGTGTGTGTGTGTGTGGTGTGTCAGAAACTTGTGACTATAGTTTCAGTTTTCTGGTCTATTGTATTCCTAGTGTCTTTATATGTTTGTTTTCATGACATTTTCACTGGAAGAAGTGGAAACCCTTTTCAAGCTGAAAGAGAATAATTCATATCGTACGTAGCGAGGCCCCTCTTACTATATTTATTTGCTCACATATTAATAGAGCAGATAGTTTTTCTTGCAGTGTTTCTCCCACTCCTCCGAGGTCATCAGTGCCCTACTCTGTTTTTAGCTGGGGTGGTTATTCACAAGTAAAGTTAGCCACTTTGGGATTCTTCAGCCAGTTAACAACCAGGGAAGAGGAAAAGGTGGGTTCTAAGAGTATGGCCGTACTAACTTTTATCACTGCTAAAAATTAAACATAATGTACAACTGTAAGTAATTATGCCCAAGGACTGATGTTGAAAGTTTGATTTCTAGCTCGATTAATGAAGAACAGGAGATAGAAAAAGCCTGTGAGTGCATCAGAGCTGAGGCTCTCCCGGAGTGCTTTTTCCCAAGAACTGTTCCAGGCAATTTGATTCCTTTGCATTATTAGTTTTAAGTTCCCTGTTTCAAGGAATCAATTACAGAACTTTCTAATAAAGCAGGTATCGAAATAGAAGAAGCAGGATGATATAATAAGTGATGGGGAATTTTAGTCTTTATTTCTTACATTCTTCCCCCTTCAGGGGGAAGGGCTGTGAGGTAGGCAATTCTCTTTAAGAAACAGCTAAGTCAGAGTATTTGCCTCCGAAATGTCATTCTTCCTGGCTTTCTTAAGCTATGCTGTTCCACCATGCTATGACTTAGGGCAAGAAGAAAAGTTTAGAAAGCAGCCTACAGTACCCCAGGGGTTCGTGTACGTGTGTGTATGCTTGCTTCCTCGGATGTACATTTCACTCACCATTAAAATGCATCCACTTTTACCTGAAAATATTGCCAGATTCTGTACCAGCATCTTTCCCCGCTATCCATTTTAGAAAAGATAGAGAAGATGGCAGGAAAGTGAAATAAAGCAGAACAGTGTTTTGATTTGTTTGTAGTTTACAGGATGCAGAGTGGTTAAAAATTTAAAATTGTAGACTTATAATAACGCTTCTATTCACTGCAGTCTATCTCAGCCTCTGTCCACATGCCTGTATAATACATACTTTATTTCAGAATCCTGAACTATTGTTTTTATACGGATGCCAACCAATTGCAAAATAGAACACAAAACCTCTGCGTACATAGACATGTGAATATCTAGTATATATGTAAGTTGCAGGATTCTGCTCCTGCCCACCCACAACGATGAGATGTTTTCTTCTTGCTGAGTCTCAGAAGCTTTCTGATAATCCAGATCTCAACAGAGTCTTGCAGGAAAGAACAGCTCCCTCAATTTATTTTGTTTATTTAATATGGAGATGAATAATGCAGATTTTGTTTTCATGAATGTCCTTGTGTGGCAGTAAACATTAGACTATTAGCAATCATTACTTAAAAGTTGCAATTTGCACCTTAATAGCACAGGTTATTTACATGGGAAACATATTCAGCAGGGACAATTCTGAGTACTGCAGTAGAGCAGAGATGACCTGCGAGAGCTCTTTTTCTACCTCATGATAGTATGATAGTGAGGACTCCGGATTACCATGGGGTGAGGTCCCAGAAATCTCAACTCATGGGGCAGGGGCCAAGGCAAGGGCAGGCAGCTCAGGGTGAGGTTTACCTTTAATGTATTGGCAAGAGGGACAGGATTCGAGAGAATAAGAATCAGATAGATTCGGGACCCTGGCTCTCTCATTTCGTTGAAACAGCCTTCAGAAAGACAAGTTCACATCTTGAACATTTAAATATCTCATGCTGTGGATCCCTTCGCATACACAGACTATGATTTTAACAGATGAATGGAAACACACACACACACACACACACACATGTACACACAACACGTAATAAAACCCAAAGGGTCTCAGCAACACAAACTGTTTTGGCTATTCTTGTTATTTAAGGCAGATCTCTGAAAAAGGAAGGACAGATACCTTGCAGTCGCTTTGTCCACACCGGGTTTGGATCGAAATTGATTGCTTAAGTGGTCCTCTCCCCACTCTCCTCCTCCTTTCCTTCTCCCACCTCTCACCTCACCCTTAAAGACCCAGATTGAATGGGACATCTCAAAAGCCCATTTGTTTTAGGCATTTATTGATTTCATTTTTAATCTGCCATATCAGGACACAATACGTTAACCCTAATCAGGAGATTGCAAGTGACAGGGAGTTCTGGTGGAAACCAGGTAAGGGAGAGGGGGGTCTGGGAAACTTCTTGATGGTGAAAATCTTCTCTGAGGCTCAGGGGGTTGGCTGTTGAAGGCTACCTTTGGGGAGGGTAGAAACATTCCTCAAAAAGACTCTACCTTTCTCCTCCTACTTTATGTTTCTTTTTCTCCCAGTAGCAGATTCTATGCCTATCGTTTGGGAAAGCTTAACCCTCACGAAATACCTCCCAGGCGTCTTTGGGAGATCTGTCCCCGAAGCATCTTGACTTTTGTCACATTCTCCAAAGGTGGTTTATGCTTTCTTTTCATCCCAGCTGACTTCTCACTCATGTGATGAAATTTCCCCAACTGGATAACATACCTGGGTTGGTCTGTTTCCCTTCCCAGGGGCTTGGGAACTGTGCTCTCCATTGAGCAGCTTTCAAAGGGGGACTGAGCCTGGCATTATTTAAGGCCATCAAAATGA